ATATATATATATATATATATATATATATATAACAATGTTAAAATACTAAAAATAAATTAAAAATTTAAAACTAAAAATACCATTTTTACAAATCTTTTTACAAAGAAATATGTAATTTTTATTTTTCATTGTGAGTGAAAATACTGTTCTGATCAAAATATATAATTTTGTTCTCATTCTAAAAAAATAAGCAAATTTAAAAGTTTGTACATATTTTCTTTTGATTTTCTTGAAAAGAAAATAAATATTTTGAAGATTACATTAATATTGTATGTTTAATTAAAGGTAATAGTCCTAATCAACATGGTAAGCTATTAATACCTACATTGACCCCATATCCAAATTTGGGTTTGAAGACAATTCTTTTTTCAAAAAAGTTTTTTTCTTAGGCAACTCCTTTTCCTTTTAAAAAAAAATTCGTCCCCTCGTGAACTCAATTGCACTAAATACTTAGATCGTAGATGGTTGAAATAATTTAAAATTAGAATGGTTTTGTAATTTTTTAATGTAATTACATTTGTGTAGTAAATTATGAGGAGGGCAAAAGGAAAATGGTAATTTTCTAATGCACAGTAAAGTAGACTACACATTTATAGATCTATAAATATAAATATATGTTGAGTAATCGCCTGGTTAGTTTTTATTTAGTGGTGTATTTATATTTAGTAAGGTAGACAAAATTAACCAAATTGAACTTAATTGACACAATTCATTATATTAAAAATATTGAATTATTTATAAAACAAATTGACCTCCACATTTTATAGTTTAATTTTTAAAGTTACACTTAAATTAATTATTTATTAATTTAAAACTACTTTGTTGATAAAAGACATAGCAACACATAGATATATGAGTTTAAGGTCGAGACGAGTCGTTGAGTCGAAGATTTTATCGGATTGGTCCAGGCCAAAGATCAAGATGGGTAGGGCCAGGTCAAAGGTCGAGATGGTCAAGTCAGGCCTCAATCAAAATTTGATCGCATTCGGCCATAATTGAAATTTGGTTAAATTCGATAGAGTCAGCACGATTGAAATTTAGTCGAATTTCACCGAGTCATCCCTAACCACAATTCAGTCAAATTTGATTAAGTCGACCCAAGTCGAAATTTCTTTGAATTTGACCTAGTCAATCCTAGCTAAAATTTGATCGAATTCAGTCGAGTTGGCCTTGGCCAAATTTGTTGAACTCAGCCCCGAACGAATTCGTCTGAGTCAATCCCGACCAATATTTGGTTGAAATTCCATTGAGTTGACCACAACTAAAATTCAATCAAATTTTCAATTCCAACTTAAATTTGGTCGAGTCAACCCTAACTGAATTCAGCCAAGTATCAAAATTTGGTCAAATTCGATCGAGTCTACCTCGACTGAATTTGACTCAGTAGGCCCCATCCAAAATTTGGTCAAATTTTTTCAAGTTGTTCATGATCAAAATTCAATCGAAGTTGATTTCGTCACCAAAATTCGTCCTAATTTGACCTAATCGGCTCCAGTAAAAAATTGGCCAAATTTTGTCAAATTGATCGAATTTGACCATTAGGTATTAAAAAATAATTTGTCCATTTTTAATACAGTATAATTTAATAAGACAAAAAATAGTTTAACTCAATTTAAACAGATTACTTTTTAGTTCATAACAATTTTTAACTTTTCAATTTAATACCATTCATTTTATCCACCTCATATTGTTACAAGCCATGCTTTTTTTAGTGTCCCTGTGTGATGCAAATATAGATGAAGTCCAATTAATGATGATAAGAAAATAGGAGTTTGTGAAGGTGATATGGTGCTTGAATCGAGTAAATCTCATTTTTTTTTTCATGGTTTGCTAAAATTGGTTTAATTTTTTTCCCTTTTAACATATTGAAATTTAAGTACATATGTTAGTTGTTTTTGTGTGGCATTAGTTGTGTTAGATCTATAGGACAAAACTAATAAAGTAAGGCAACAATTTCAATGGTTAGATTTTGAATATGAATATAGAGATGATGCGAGGTTACGGATATATGAATGTCTTCTTATTTCACTTGTTAGGTTGACACCTTTCTTCCTACAAACAAATTGAAATGTTTATTAAGTTGAATTGTAGAAAATTATATGTAAATGAGATGATAATGTGAACTAACCTGATACTGAATGGAAGATATTTATTTACTCTTTAATGCATGATGGTATATGATAAATGTTTGGCAAGTGTACCAAAATCATCTCAAGTAATAAAGTAAGTAAAGTATCATTTCTAAAGGGAATTTGAGTCACGATATTCAATTGGATTTGTTTATCAAGATTAATTTAGTGATGATAGACTTGATTTTATATTTGAAAATTTGCATGAAAATAACAAACGTACAAATTTAAGATTGTAAATTTAAATGAAAGTTTCATTGGAATTAGAACTCACATTACGGTAACAATCTGAACAATATATATTTTATATTCAAGCATTCACATCAATGTATCTTGATTTAATTCCTTAAAGTAAGTTCTAAAGATATCTATTAAATCATTAATTTCTTAATTAATTCAACAAATACTTTGCATTAAAATCTGATGTTAAGAATGACCATAAAATCGGAACTATTCTTAGTATCATTACTTTTGGTTGTTTTTCTTACGTCAAGTTCAAATTTACTTCCCAGTACAAAAGAACGTTTAAATCACATCATACTTCCTTATAATCATAAGTAAGTCGAGAAAAGCACATAAACATAGATACACGTTGAACAGGAAAATTACATTAATGAAGAGTCATTACAACCAATTCCAATGAAAATTAGCCACTCCTAGTCATCTAGAACATACTCTTTTAAGTAATTTCTTGCAGAAAATGATATCTTGAAGCCTTGAAGTTGTATGCTGATGTTTCTCTTGTGTTTTTCGTTCTTTGCTTGGTCAGAAGATGCCTCCTTTCTTTTTGTCTCAAGCTTAAAAACCAAGTTTCATTTAATTAATACACTTAGCGCACAACTATGCATTTATGTACTGAGCGAAAATCTCAACTGCTCTCCTTCAACTGACGCAATTCGCTTAGCGCATAATAATGGTGCGCTGAGCGAGAAGTCTTACTTTTGGCTAAGCGAATGATAGCTGGCGCTTAGCGACAAAGGACTGACAACACTCCAATTAATGTAGAATTTCCTACACAACTTTCTACCACTTCCTATTACAACTTTTCAAAGAAGAAATATATTATTTCATGAATAATTACAACTTTGAACTCATTCATAAGTATGAAAACAAGTATTTTTTTACACTTATAAGTATATCTTAAACATACATAAATGAAAAAAAAAAAACTTTATGAAGCTAAATGAATTTTAAAATACGCATAATTTGTTAAGTGATTTTTCTTCCTTGCTATAGAGTTTTGAAAACTTAATTTAATACTAATTAGGCGCACTAGTCCATATGTTAATATGATATATTTTTTTTAATATTATACAACATAATGTGATATTAATTCAATCTATATAAGAAATTGATATTGTCCTAAACTCAAAAACTCAATTTTATGATGACGAATTTATGGATTTTTTTTAAGGTA